CACACACACACACACACACACACACACACACACACACACACACACACACACTCGTAGCTTGCAAATTACGACGCGCTTCTTTTTATGCGCCGTGCCACATTTCGGCCGGATGTCGGGTCGCCGGGGGTGTGCTCACTACCCGCGGCTGCGAGGGTAGTGGAAAGGAGACTTCGACCCGCCCTTTCGAAATGTCAAAGGTTGCCGCGCAAGCCGCATCGACGTACCCCCGTTTCCCAGGAAGCGAGCCCGCGCGAGAATCCCACGGCATTGTTCCTGCTCGTCGCGCGCGATAATTCGCGCTATCAACGTCGCGTCTACGCGACAGCGGGCGCGAATCGAAGAACACAACATTATCGTAGTTTATTTTCTGTTTGGGGAGAAGGGGGGATTAACGCGCGTGCTCGCGAGAGTTTATTCAGAGCGTACGTCCACCTTCATATCAGCGACCGGGCAAGTATGAAAGTTCACGAGGCGAAAATATTTCCGTCAACATTGGCGCCGACAGTGGCGTGGGATCGACGATAATAATAAATCATCCTTCTCTCTCTCTCTTTCTCGTTCGGTCGTAAATAAAATTCGCCGAGCTCAATCGAACGAGAGATCCCGCGCGCGAATCCGTGCGCGAGGCGCATTTAACGCCTGACAAATGCGTGCCCGACACATACCGCGAATGCTTAGAAAGAGAGAAACAAGAGGAAAACGTGTAATCGATGATATTGTGTTTGTCAGCCGACAGTCGCGAGCAAATCGAGCGGGCATTCGCGTCCCGTCGGGCGAAAAACCTCGCGTCTCTGACGGGGTTAATAATAATCTTAACGACCTGTCGTGATCGATACGCGGAGCCTTTTGGTATTTTCGCTCAATTATTGTAATATCGTACACTCTGCCTCTCTCTCTCCCCCCTCACTCTCTCTTTCTCTCACTCTCTCTCTCTCTTTCCCCGTTTGGCCGCGTCTGAAAGGTCAGACGGACGTCAGATATCACGATTCCATCAAATCCTGAAATTCTCTTCGTGCACTGGCGAGGGAAGACAAATATTTACGACATCCGAGAAACGTAATTAAGTGCCAAGCGAAAGATCCGAGGGTCGAGAATTAAATCGCGGCCCTTCCTCGTAGGCCCGCAAACAATTTTACCTTACTTCGCTCGGCATAGCGTTCAATCTTTATGGGGGCACAAATCAAATAAGGTTTCTCGGCGTTCGATATCGCCGAGCTAGACTGAATTCAGGCAGGAAGACCCCGATTACCGGCACCCGTTCTCTTGACAGAGCCGTCAAGAGCACAAAAGCTGTCTCCCATTACCGTCGTTGAATTACACTTACAAGATAATTTTTCCCGTCACGATTTTCAAATCTACTTCCTACACACAAGGAATGTTATAGTTTTTTTTTTCATATAAATTCTTTTTTTCGTTTTACTGTTTTTAGTAGCACAGGAATAGATTGTCAGTAAAGTCTATTTTGCCGAGAAATATAGTATACGTTTTGTTAGGAACATAAATTTTTTAATAGCACAGAGACTTTAGTTTTCCTAGAGATTTATATTTCCTAAAATATAAATAGCATATGTGAAAAGTAAAAGGATAATCAGTTATTGTAGAATGTCAATCTATTCCTTAATGAAAAAATTGTAGTTATTTTTAACTATAAAATTCTCTCCGTGTACTTTCTCTAGCGTACGAAATTTGAATAGCATGAACCTAGAATTAATTTCAAATATCTCATGAATATCCGACCAAAATAAGGTAGGTCTAGGTATAAAAGAAAACAAATTAATTGAAATCAAATAATCGGGTAAATAATTTGAATGAATCGTGTCTAAGAAAACTATAAGTTCAAAAATATTATAATTTTCTTCCCTTCAAAATTTATTTAAATTTTGCTATATTTTTAGTAGTTGAAGAATAGGTTGGTCAGTAAAGTTTTTTTTTCTAAGGAACATAGTATACATTTCGTTAGAAAAATAGTAACTTTTTTAATAGCACATTTTAGTTCCTAAAGTGTAAATAGCATATATGAAATGGAAGAATAATCAATTACTGTAGAATTTACTGTACAATTTATTTCTCGACAGAAAATTCTAACAACTGATTCATAGTGAAAATTCTACAAATGATTTTTACTGTATACAATTTTCTCTGCGTGTATAGTTCGAAATATGTATATGAATATATATATATATATATATATAAATATATATACACACACGCACAAAGTCCGCCAACGAAAACACCCCGATTGTTTAACTCCTATTTCTATTTAAGTTTTTTTGAGGGATAGCTATTATCTAATTAAAAGGATAGAGTGATATAGTTAAATTTATCACAATCATACAACCCTCTTGAAAACAATATTGACGTATATTGGCATTTTTGGCAAAAATCGATTGATTACAGAATAATCAGGGTGTGGAAAGTTTTCGTTGGATACATATCTTCTCTTTTCTGTCTTAATTATATAACAATATTTGCATAAAATAGATACGCCATTCTTCGTCTCTTAAATTAAACTTATCTGTGGTCGATAAGTAACAAAAACAGATCACATTGTTGTTGCTACTGTTTATTTACAGTCTCGCTCGGTATCATGTGCGTAACTATGTTTGCGAGGCAGGGAAACGGGAAAGATGTTTTCGCAAGCGGTTGAATCTCGAATCTTTCGCGAGCGGGCGAGTGTTTCCGAGGAAACACTCTCGGCGCGGGATAGCGGGATACGGCGAGTAGGAAATATAGAAATATCTGGCGTGCATTGTGCGATTTGTGCAGGTGGCCTAGTGGCAGCGGGCCGTTTATCAGTTTCCAGCTGGCCCAGACATCGTGGCGCGTCGATAAAGCGCGGATTAAACGGCCCTACTCCTCGCTTATCGCGCGAGCCGCGTTTCGCTCTTAAGCGCGACGTCGCCGCGCTTAAGTGCACTTCGCCGTTAATCTCATCTCGCCGAATGACTAAACGTATCCGAGTTTTCTCTCCTCCTGCTGTGGTATCACCTCGTGCGCCGGGACGAACGCGGGCGCCGACGACGGCCGTAAAACGGATTGGACTTGTTTACTTTTAAGGTTTCGCGGATGGAACTGGGTGTTACTCTCGCGTTGACTTCGACCTCCGTTGAATTACTCGACCAAATTATAAACGAGCGAAATTCGCGTTAAAAACGCCTGTCACACCACCATCGCGTGATACCCTCTGAATTTCTGCGAGTGTAATTCCGCTCATAGGGTAGAGTGCGTGCCGAGTCATTCGAAGTCGAGTGACTTCTTACTCATACGGACTGAATTCTTCCACTCTGAATCGTCCAGTGATGTTTGCATTCGAAATTGAGGATCTGACACGCACACGTAGCGGCGTAGCAAACTTAATACGCGGCATAATCAGGTTACTAGTACGCAGTAAAAAAAATTTATGTTAAATTTAACATATGTCCCAGAAAATCCACTTAAATTTTCGTTAATTTAACACAAAGCGGGTATGTTGAAAAAATATAAATATTATGTAAAAAAAATATATATAAACACTATTGAAGCAAATTTTATATAAAATTGGCATATTTAGAATGTCAAATGTAATACTAAAACAGATTATTTTTTTTACATTGATAGAAACGTTTTATCATTTCTTTCTTATTACACTTTCTTATTGCACATCTATTGATGTGTTTAATTAATTTAATTAATATATTTGAAAAACTTTTTGCTACGAATGGTAAGAACTATAAAAACTGATGTGTTAAATTTAACATTTTATGTGTCCCGAATCATCCACTGTCATTTATGTGTAAATTTAATACAAAACAAATGTGGTAAAAATTAACACGCATAATATGTAAAAAATTAACACAAGAATTTAACACTTGAATATCGTTAGGAATCACAGTTTATATTAAATTGACATATATATAATGTTAAATTAACTAAAATAAAACGTTACTTTAATATTTGAGAGAAGTATTAATCTATGGTTTTGTGTGTGATGAAATAAAAATGTTAAATTGACATAATCTATATCTGAAATATTAAATATGTCAATTTAACACAACCTGTGATTCCTAACGGTGATTCAAGTGTTAAATTCTTGTGTTAATTTTTTCCATATTATGCGCGTTACTTTTTAACACATTTGTTTTGTGTTAAATTTACACATAAATAAGAGTGAATGATTTGAGACACATGAAATGTGTTAAATTTAACACATTAGTTTTTACAATATATCGAACTCGGGAACTTTGATTTTTGAATCACCTTTACCTTACGCACTATCTCCACTTTTATTCTGACTGTAGACATACTTTGCATTGTTTAAGGTAGAACATTAAGAACATAATTTTTCAGTAAAATTAACATCCACAATATGTTAATATCTACATTAGAATGGAACATATGTAATTTTAACGCTACAAGTGTTGCTTGAAAGTTTACATATGTTGAGAATAATGTTTCGAAATAACATAAACATATATGTTAAATTAACATAAAGGGAAGTCTTATATACTTATTATGTACTTTTAACTTTTGTTAATATCAAAGCAACCTTAAAATATATTGATTTTTTGAAATAATTACATTAAAATAACTCGAAATAATATATATTTCATTTTCAAATGACATACAAAAATTTTTAAGTTATCGAGTTGACATTAATCTAACACATTAAAACGTCACGAAAATAACATCAGTTGTATGTTAATATTTTACATTGAAATAATAAACAAAAATTGATGATATAAAGAAATTTTAGTATTTGTTCGTAAGATTTTTTACAGTGTATTTTCTAGCTGTGCATATTTTGATAATTAACACAAATCGTGACAAGTTACTGCCTTGACATATCGTTTCTGTTTCTTTGAATAATCAGTGGATAATAAAACAATAATGCGTGCGATTAGAATCCTAATAATCTGGCTGTCTTATAATTAAGTTATTAGTAGTTGTACTACATATTAAGGCATCGCATCGCACACATATTAGCATTACATATTTATGCTGGTCTGCGTAGCATCTCACCGCCACTGGAACAATTCGCCCTGATAGACTGAAATATTCACTCGTGCAGATTAAGAACTCGCTCCAAGTTGGAGTTAAACATTCACTTCTGAGATTCCGAGTGGTATTTTCACTACCGCTCTTTGAGTGAATTTTCTCTTGTTTCGAGTGATATCTCGCTTCAAGAAATTTAGCAAGTAAACTTTGCGCTTTAAGAGATTCCGTGCGTAATAGAAATTTGTTGTTACACGACAGTACGAAAGCGAATATATTAGCGCGTATCGTATTTTCTTCTTGTGTCTGCGTGACCCTTTTCAGAAAAGAAACGAGAGAAACGTTGGAGCAGCGTGCGTTTGCAAAAGTAGGTTGTCCGGACGAGGATTTAGAACGGCACTCGTATTCTCCGCCTATAGCCATTTCGCGCCTTTTATTCTAGCCGTTTTCCCGATTTAGAAACACAAAACTGAAATTCCGGAGTGTACACTGTGTATGTCGGGATTTCAGTTTGATACTCAAAGGTAGCAGGAGGAGGAGGTGGCAAGCGAATAAAAAAACATAAATTGAACACGTCGTTCAAGAATGCGTATAGTTTCTGCAAAAATATGCTAATATTTCTATTGTCCGCATGAAAATGTATGGTATTCATATACATATACATACACACACAACACAGTTGAATAACAATATATTTTTACTTTAACATCACATTCTTATAATTTAATTTACTTTATTTATATTACAATAAAATTTTACATATATTTTGAATACTTAGGGTAGATTTTTTAATAATAATTCAAACTTGGATTTAAGCTTTGTTTAAATTCATCAAGCCACATTGTTTAGAACTTAAATTTAAGTCTGAGTTTAATTTGCTGTTGAAAAATTGTTCCTTAAAGTACACGTATACAAAGATTAAGATTTTTGTCATTATTTTTTACTATCTTTTTCTTACTAAAATTTTAATTAAATTTTAATTAAAATTACAATTTTTAACATCATGTATTTCTATAACAGCACAGTTTAAAGTACTCTCATGTAACAGGATGACGTTAAATGAGGTATTATTGATGTAAAAGTTGTCATGAATGCGTCATTAAACGTCATTTAACGTCATCACGTTTGGATTTACGATTCAAAGCGGAATAATTTTTGATCTAGACTCTGAATTAATGTCAAAATATTTGTGATCACTTTTGGATGCAATATTGATTAATCCCTATTTTCGTTGAAATTTTTCCATTATTTTCGAGATATGGCCGATACACGTTCTCACGATTCACGCTGCTATTGCAGTTTTATTTGGCGAATTTTTTCCCGTAGCTACGTTGCATTTGTTTTCAAAAAACACGCTTGGTTTATGTATATGCGGTTATACGAAAAAAAATGTCATACACACATGAGTATCGGTCTACAACCTCGCTTTAAGGTTTAAGTCGTAAGCAACTGACCAATCACAATCGATTATTCTCGAGACGTAAGGAGAATAATTGACTACAAAAATATGCATATAGACGGACACTAATGTTGGTAGCAAAGATACCTTAAGTAAAATTGAAAATTTTCCGCGAAAATACACGGAGAAAAAAGATTAGTTGATTCACGGACAGTCAATCGCATTTCAGCTAAAGCAGCCAGAATGTTTGATTACGACTGATTTTCGTTGTCTAACCAACTGAATTCAGTTGTTACAAGCAAACATTCTAACTGCTTCAGCTGAAATGCGACTCGCTGTCCGTAAATTAACCAATCTTTTTTCCTATGACAAACTTGAAGCGTCACACATGCGTCACACATGCGTCAAACGTATTAAATTTCACATGTGCAACGCCACCGGAGATGACACACATGTTTCCCACCGGAGTTTCGTCACTCACTCTTATACCGTCCCTGTATCGATATCGTCAAACGTATCGATTATCGCGACCGGGGCACGACGACGACGTCAAACGTCAGATGGACGGAAGAGTCCTCCCGAGATTAGAAGCTTTCACGTTTCGTCGTTCGCCGACACGAAGATTTTCTCGAGAGAACGAGCATCAGGGGAAGTCTGTAAAGACGTATGAAGCGGCGTATGACGTGGTTTCCTCGCTCCTCCCGGAGATTATCCGATTTATGGCAGTTGACATTGTGGAGAAAGCTCGGCGCGCTCGAAAAGTCGAAGGACTGTCCTTCTTCGCCGACTGTCGAAGACGCGCCGGAGACGCGCTCCTCTGCGTCCTCCTACCACCCTTCGACAGACGATGGTCCTTCGGAGGACCCTTGCTCACTGAGTCCTTCACCCGAGAAGCAGGATCCGCCGCCCTGCCCTTGTCCCAAGCCGCCGACTTGTCATCCTGACTCCGGTAATGTCGCGTGTCTCGAACTTTCGTGATAAATTCGGGACTCAACGATGCGGGGGCTCCTCGATGCATCGGGGGATGCCTCTCTCCGTTTCTCGCCCCCGTTTCGGAAAGTTATCGGGAGAGGGATGATTCTTCTGAGCGAGGAAGACTCAGGATAGAAAGTGTTACGCTTCGACGCGGAATCTCCGATCCGTTGTCAGAGAGCGCGATACAATTTAGCTTTGTCCACGTAGACGACGTGTCGCCACTTATCGCGTGATAACGTGTCACACGTTTATGATGACAATACGCGACCGATTGTGAGCGCAGATCCACGCAGACTCGTACTCTGGCGAACGCTCTCCCTCGTCGTCGCGTTGCCCCTGGTCGTGATCATGTCGGCGTACACTTATGCACGGCAGCTGGAAAGAGCGAAGGAACCGAGACCGCCGTTTCTGAATCTCCCTTACATGTATCGTCGCACTAAGGTACGGTGCTATTTGTCGGAACTGTCTGAGCAGCGGCGAGACTTAAGAGCTCTCTATAGTCTTGTGACATCCGTTGCTTCGCTGCGAATACACACGGGGAGAATATTGCGGCAAAAATCACTGCAGAATTTTCTAACCGACCGGTGGATCGACATTTCGCAGTAATTTATCATACGATCGTTTTGTATATGCTACACTGAGAGAAAAATTATATTAAAATCAACAAATATTTCTTTAATGGGTGCCATTAACATATTTACTTAAATCTATATTCTTTTTATTTAAATTAAATATTGTTTACCTGATTTAAATAAACAATATTTGATTTTAATAAAGAGATTGTAGATTTAAGTAAATATATTAATGGCACCTATCAAAAGAAATATTTACTGATTTTAATATAATTTTTCTCTCAGTGTACTTATATCGAGTTAATCCGTAAGGTCGTGCGGATTTTTAAGCAAAATTGAAATGCAATTTGTTCTTGTTAAAGATAATCTCAATCAATAACATATGCGCCATTCTGTGTTCGACAATCTTTTGTCATCTTTCACGGAATTTTGTAATTCTTCCCTCGTAAAGCTCTTCTGCTCTTTCGGTAGAAAGATTCCAAGTGATTTTTCACATCTTCTAAAGAAGCGAAGTTTACATCGTCAAGAGAGTTCTGCAATGAACGAAACAGATAATAATCAGAGGGAGCGATGTCGGGTGAATATAGTGGGCGAGGCAAAACATCCCAGCAAAACTCTAGCAATTTTTACGGAAGTAAACAAGCATAATACATCGGAAAAACTCATTGCTGTCTTACATTTTCAAGGCATAACAAAACAACTGTATTTCTTAGAGACACTATCACTTACACTACGAAATGTGTTCTGAAATTTCAACTATCAAAGCGTATATGTAGATGGTAACTATTCTCTTAATATTAATTTAATACGAATGCCAACTAGACAAAAATTCACATGAACTTATGGATTAATAACCAATAACCAATTAATAACCCAATATTTTAGGAACTGAAATGTGATATTAAAAAATTTGTTGTGTTCCATGGCAAGATAGACCTTACTAGACAGTCCGTTGTGGTACTACTAGAAACATACACACAGAAAGATATATATTGCAATTCAAATAAATGTTACTCGTGTCGAGTATTTTGCAAGTTTATATATTCGCGAATCTGTCATTACAACAACCATTAAATTTACACAAAAAGTATGTTCTGAAACCTAGTAAATTTAGCATTTCAATAAAAAATGTTAAATTAAAGCCAAATTTCAGTTTACTGATTTTTTCTTCATGTAGTTTTCTAATATTTTTGTAAAGAGGATAAATTTTTCATGATTTTATATGATAACGAGCTTCTTTAACATTTGGAGTAAATATATCTTAAAACTATTGTCAAGAAATTATTGTTTGTTGAAAACAATTGTTACTAACAGTTGTTAAAGAGGATAAATTGAGTAATCGCTATTCTTCGCTGTAAAATAATATTTTTCTGTATGTAATAACATGCAAAAGAATTTATATGAAAAAAAGAAACCATAATATTCTCTTCGTGTAGACGGGAATCTCTCGCGGATTTCTCGTAGCATTTGTTAGTTTTTCGTACGGCGAATTTTGCGATCTGTTTTTTCTTTCGTGGAAAATTTAGTTGCCGAAAAATTACGCCCTACTCGAAGACATCTTGTAAACGAACTCGTCCAATTACCGTAACGTGAGACGAGATTAAGTAGGATCTGCTGTTTCTAAAGTGCTAAAGATACTCGCGACTAGATTTACGCAAGAAGTCTTAAGTTCCGCGTAGAAATTAAATCCCAACCTAATGAAATTGTTTTGCAACGAAAGATTTTTTATTTTCCTATCGTTGATTTTTACAGTAATTATCGTCACGTGTCTTCGTCGGCTAGACCTATTTTTTCCGGTGGTGCTCGCAATTATCGATTAATGAAGACTTACGATTTCACTGGTCTTACTTTAGCCTGTCTATATCTCAAAATTCGCATTTCTCTTTTCATATTCCACACGCGCGCTTACTCGAGTTTCTCGAACGGAAAAACGACAGTTGTGGAGGTTGTACGATCTCCTTTACTTCTCCTTTACTTCTACGTAAACAAGTCCGTTGTTCAGTTTCATTAATTCTGTATCATGCGAACTTCTTCCAGTAACTTTAGAACGATTTGATCCGCTTCCACTGATCTATTCAGAGTTGAAGGAATCGTAAAATCGTCATCGCTCTCCCATGTGTGGAACTGTATGCTTTAAAACCGGAGGTGGATTAACTTTAATCCGAGATAATTTTTATTCAAAATTAACACCGAGAACTCTGTTGAACTTGAACGAACGGAAAATCTCGAAATACAGCAGTGTACAAGCTATTTTATTTTATCTTGACGTTACGAATAATTGCTCACAGTTGTTTTCTTTACGCTGAATCTTAAAAAGGACTTCTCTCAGAATTATTTAATTAAACTGTCTTAATATTCTGATCGTATTTAATCTTCGTTCTTAATTTATCATTTTTAATTTCAATCAGCAATGTGTGTTAATTGTAAAATTTATTCAGTAGATAAAATATGTAAAATAAGTAAATATTAAACAGTTAATATAGGTCACTGTATAATATAGCTAATAATTCACTAGTAATTAACAGTTAATAATAACTGCTAAAAATGTAGATACTTATAAATTTAGAAATTTAGAAACTTATAAAAATTTACGAGAAGTGAGAACAAATATAGTAGTTATATGTCTGATAATAGCACCAATAGAGATTTAAATGTAGATTCGGTACATATTGAAAGAAAAAAGTATTTAAAAAATAAAAAATGTATTTATTCGCGGTTTTGAATATTAGTAACATATTTACTTACACCAATATAGAATATTTCTCAAATAAGAAAATATATATTTTCTTGAAACCTTAAGTTTTCATGAGAGCAATTATTTATTCTATTTAAATAAAAGAATTTAGATTTAAATAAATATATTATTAGTCAGCAAATATATTATTACCCAGCAAATAAGTCTTTTTATCTTTAGATATTTTTTTCTTCAGTGTAATAATAAAGTTAAATGAAAATGACAAGCGTTAGCAAATTGGCAAAACAGCTGAACGAGGAGATCATTACTATATGTATAAATTATTTATATTACATTCGAAGTTCGATATGTACATAGCTATAAACTATTTACGATCTTTAACTGAGAGCAGAAGCATTCATTACAGATTCATATTGACGGACCGTTATTCGGCTGTCCAGTTCAATAATTTTCAATTAAATTTCAACTGTGAAGTAATTTGACGTGTAAAAGATTTCTTATTTTCCGACCGTTGGTTTTTGCAGTAATTATCGTCAAAATTCTTTCTTGTGTGAAATAAAATGTAGGTAGACAGTAATAAGAAATTCACGAAGCTGCATTTATTTGTCAAAATGTAATGCGCGCGCAGACCATGAATGCCGGCCTGAATATCGATACGACCATATCTCTTCATTTTCAGTGAGTTTGTAAAGTTTGTCGTGAGTTTGTAAGTCTGCAGTTAGAGTCGAGAAATTACGTTCAGTTGAGTTGGAAATATAATAAATTATTCGACGCACTTGCGAATATATGATGCATCGCTGTCTTCGTCTTGCCTCCCTGCTTTCTTAATCCTCTGGCTCCTAATTCTGCATCCTGTTTCGTCGGGGCATTCCGGACACTCGCTCGTGGCACTAATACTGAGATTCGCGTAGATATGACGATTCGTTTGCAGAAACCAGTGTTAATTAATGCGATGTCGAGAGCCCGATTAAATGATCCTCCAAAAGTCGGCGAAATTAATCGCCGGTAATTAACGTACGTTAATATTTAATATACAATTTACGATAATAGATATACGATATACGATAATACGCGTAGATAATATGTACGATACACACTCAAACAAATGATCTTGTAGTCATTGCGAAGATTATCTAGATACGCGAAATTAGTTAAGATGGATAAATAGCAAACATACTGCGATATCATATATGTTTGGTATTTAATCAATACAGATGATGGAGACGGAATTTCTATCTGAATTATTTGCGAAACTATTTGGCAAGAAAATTTCCCTCTCTCTCTCTCTCTCTCTCTCTCTATGACGTCCATACAGCCACTCACGTTTCTTCTAAAAATAAACTGGCAGACAAAAAGAGTACGAGCGACGAGAGACAAACGGATGTATAATCCTCACACCCACTTAAATTTGCTCGTAGATATTGTTGTTGTAAATTCTATGCATGCACAGACAATTTTCCAGCAGAGACAACAAACAGCGATACATTTCAATTGCGACATTTAGAATTCTACCTGGAGTAGCGGAGCATTTTTTTGAGTGCGATATGTTCCACGTGCGTATAACTCGCCGACTCGAGACGTATACACTCGCGTATGAAAAACAGTACGCGACGCACAAGAGTGCCGAAACAATGGACACAATGACACAAAGGGCATTTCTCGTCAATTGCCAACCGTCGTTGGCTCACCGTTTAACGGTCGAGTGTGATGAAAACAATTAACGCCTTCAAAACATTGCGAACCTTCAAGACGGTCGAACGTACGTCGCGCAGTTTTGCGAGTGTTTCATTCCGTTACGAGTCGGCGAGCGACACGCATATGTAAATACGTTATTTAGCATTGCGTTTCAAATATTTTGCCGGCTTTTAGAATATTGCATCGGGCTTCTCGTTGGCATCACCTTCTCTCTAGAACCCTAAACATAGGTAAATTTTGTCAGTAAATTTTGTCAGTGCATTTTCATCTGCTCATAACACTTTCGGAAAAATTATCAATCTTTTTTTTAACCAGTGTAAGAAACATCGAAGAATTGACGTTCCTGCGATTAGATAAAGTTGAAGGAAGTTGCATTGAAAAAATAAAACATGTTTTTAAGAACGGTCGAGAAGTTAGCCTGCGTAAAGTTTTACTCATGTTTCGGGTTTTCTTCTTTAATTACACGCGTTTCAATTGAATCGCGTCTACGCGAGTGTCGGTATCAGTGTCAACGTCACAAGTGAGGATCCGAAGTACCACGACGAAGCAGCCAGCATAATCAGAATGCTGATTCTGAAAGTCTGGACAAGCACGCGAGCAACGATACATCATGTATTTTTAGGTATGTAAAATAGTTTATCACACAGATTTTCAATTTGAAGGCTCTTTGACTTCTCGCATTATCTACCTCTTTTTAATGACGTCAGAAACGAGAAAATGCATGCTAAAAATTCTTGCGAAATACGTTGAAATAAAAATATATATCTATAAAGTAACACTTGCAATCGATTAAACAAATTTGTAAGATATTTCGTGCACTCTCCTTTTGCTCTAACAATCAATAATTTGTCGTAAATTAATGTAACATAAAATTCATCTTCTTAATCTATTTCTTCGCCTATTTCTATTCAGGTTAATTTACAATAAATTATTGATTGTTAGAGCAAAAGGGAAGTGCATGGAATATCTTACAAATTTGTTTAATCGATTGCAAATGTTACTTTATATATTTTTATTTTAACGTATTTCGCAAGAATTTTTAGCATGCATTTTCTCGCTTCTGATGTCATTAAAAAGAGATAGACAATGCGAGGGGCCAGAAGTCTTAACGCATTTTAATTCTTTCACTAATTTTGTTTTTTAAGGTATAGTTTGTATTGTTACTTTCATTTTGCTGAATACATAAATATAATGTAGTTTTAGCAAAAAAAATAAGAAAAATTGTTGGTGCCAAAGGGATAGGGTCGGGACACTGATGCCCCACTGGGATTTTTGGCAGAGCATATTTGTCCCAACAGTAATAAGTAGAGTGATAACTGATATATCCTGAATGTCAAAAAGCTGTTTATTCAAAAGAAATGAAAAAGGTTGTTATATATGATGGAACAAACATATATCTCTAGGATATATATACAGAGTATAACAAAAGTACCGGAAGATAACTCGGCGGGGGAGCATTTTAGAGAAAAATGTTTCAGACAAAAGTTGTAAGGCTTAAAAGAACGCATTCAACGATAGTAGTTATTTGACATAGGATGGCGTCGCCAAGATCAGAACAAGGTCAACTTTGCTTTTTTAAATAGAAACATATTTTTTATTACGGCATTTTATTCAACGTAAAAACACAAACAACTTTTGCTTGAAAAAATTTTTTATACGACCTCTATTTTCTAAGATATTTACGTAAATATCTACAAGATTATTGGTTTCAATAATTTTTTACTTGAATTCTATCAACTTTACCAAAAAATATCAAGAAATAAAAATTGCTTATTTTGTTTTCATAGAGCTCTGTGAATTTTTTTTAGAATTTTGTGTTAACTTTTTAGTACTTCAAGAAAATGTAAGAAAATGAAGTACTAAAAAGTTAATATAAAATTCTGAAAAAATTCTCAGAGCTCTATGAGAACAAAATATACAATTTTTATCTTTTCATATTTTCCGCTAAAGTTGATAGAATTCAAGTAAAAAATTATTGAAACCAATAATCTTGTAAATATTTTTCTCTATGAGAATGCTCCCCCGCCGAGTTATCTTGCCGTTCCGGTACTTTTGCTATACCCTGTATATATCCCGTTGGTAGTGAAAGATTAACAGTTTGACGAACTTAGTTGTTTCTCGATGATATTGCTAGAAAGTTTTATTAATTAATATTTAATACAACATAAATAAATGTTCGTAAATATGATTTATGATATACAGCTTTGATACTACAGCAAAAGAATATGAATCAAACTTACAAAATGTTTAAGAACTCATAAAGAAATGATCGTTTTTCGTGTTTGAACGTATTCATACTTTTGGCTTTTGGGAATTGCCTGTGTTAGGCATATGTGTTTGTAAACATATCAAACATCATACGGAGAGAATATTGTAATAAAAATTACAATACAATTTTAGTAGTCCGAGAATAGACGGGCACTATTATAAAAACTATTATAACTTTATAATAAAAACAAATTATAATAAAACATAGTAATACAATTTTTAATAATTTCTGAAAAAATTGAATGAAACAATTATCTTAAGGAGAATGAAGAGATTCGAATTGTGCGAAATTCAGGGTCGGCGTTCATTGACACTCACAATTCATCATTGTTTAACAAATAATCATAGCTTCAATAATTGAATCTTTGATTACTCGTCAATCTGCTGTACTTACTTCATACAACAAGAAATATCGATCCAAACGGTCGCGTGAATACAAACGGCCCATGAATACAAACTTGTAATTTATTACGCTTTTAGTCAAAGAGATAAATAATTCACGACTCTGAATACCGATCTTAGAATTTAGTGTAAATTTCGTAATTTGATTTTACAATTGAATCTCGCGTCGCTGATCCGTGTGTTTAATAATGCTCCTTGGAACGCAAGGCATCTTGAATCTGTTATCGTCTCTTTCTCTCTGATATTTAGCCAAGTATTTAGACGATCGAATATTAAACAATTTTAAATGAAAATCTTTTTATAATTGTTATTAAGACAGTAATAATAACCTTAAAAGGGAGAATCTCCTTGTCTCACAAGACTCAATATGAAAGAAACAGCATTAAGGACTGTATTAATAATTATTATTTGACACTTATTTAAAGTAAGAGATAATTAGATTTGAGTTCAGATAAAATAAGAGTTTTACGATTGGATCGCGATTATAAATATAATGTCACATGTGTCGTGCAATTTAACTGGAAAACTGAGATCTAACTCTGAATAAAAATCTAAGTGTCTCACATAAGATAACCCAGATAGACAGAGATACTGAATATAGCATGCAAACGTTTAATGTATACTGCGTAATGCTATTGTAACAACACAACATGTTTAAAACATTGCGTTGATCCATAAGTTTGTACAGATTTTTAAACAAAATTGAGATACATTTTGTTTTTGTTGAGAACAATTGTAATCAATAATGTATGCGTCATTCTGTTCGATAATCTTTTTTATCATCTTTCATGTAATTTCATAATTTCCTTCTCATAAAACTTGTGCTCTTTCGGCGAAGAAACGTTCCAAGTGATTTTTTACATCTCCTAAAAAAGCGAAGTTTATATTGTCAAAGAAGTTCTATAATAAGCAAAACAGATGATAATCGAAGAAGACAATGTCGGGTGAATATGGTGGATGAGGCAAAACATCTCATTGTCAGTTAAACTTTAACAATTTTTACGAAAGTAAACAAGCATAATGCACCGGAAAAACTCATTACTTTCCATTTTCAAACCGCAATAAAAACAACTGTGCTTCTTTAAATATTATCATTTATACCGCAAAATATGCTCTGAAATGACAGATATCAAAGCATATACACAGATGACCCGTGTGTGTATAGAACTATCCTCCTAATACCAATATGCGAATACCAGTTAGACAAAAACTCGCACGAACGTATGGATAAACCCGATATATTGTTTTAGGATACATCATTTCATTGCGCTCTATTTTGAATCAAAATATTTACTTCTAAATATTACATTAATTGTTAATTAATTTGCGACATTTTGTCGATAAATTTGCAGTAATCTTCATGACAGCAGAATATTACCGCAATATTTGTGTAATTTTCATGGCATCTCAGGTACCTTCTCTTATATATTGACAGAATTGTATTATTCTGTGAGAACACTTCTTTGTGTTACAATTTTCAATTCAGCAATTATTCAGATAATACATTAAGGCATGTCTATCTGGGTTAGGTTTAATATAACACCAAAATTTCGAGACTCGAATGATGTACGAAAGCAGAAATAAATGAATTATCTTTCGCGCGGACAAAAATTCGGTGAGCCACGCGAAGAAACTCTGAAACAACTCGAATGCATTGTCTCTTTTTCCTTGAAACAGCCGTACCCTTGGGGCGATGGCAATCACACGTTGTTCCATAATCCCGTGAAAAACGCCATTCCGCCGCACGGCTACGAAGTCGAGGATCCGAACGAGAAGTATCGCAAGAAGACGGACAATTAGACGGAGTGCGCGAATACCTTGATCCTGTTAGTGGCAGCTGGAGATTACGGACGAGACGAAAATGACGGCTCGTCTACTCGACACGCGGCAATCGCTTTAATTTTTAATCGGTCCTTGTCGCTCCGCATAGAATGAGAGAGAGGGAGATCGGACGTGAAATATTAAATCCGAACAGAGAGAGAGAGAGAGAGAGAGAGAGAGGGAAGCTGAGATCCTCGGTCGCATAAAGTGCTTGCAGCTGCGACGATATTTATTCGCTGGAAATTATCACGGAAATAATACGGGGAAGTGTTGCGCATAAAAATTTTTATGTACGACAGATCGCTATTAAAATTATACTGTCTGCTTGAATGTGTTTACACTGTCTCGAATATCTTGTGGATTGTTATTTTTTATAACGATTGCACAATCGAAGCAAACGTAGTTCAGTCGTAACGAATTCGAATGAAGTTAACCCTTTCGCTACCAACGGGACATATATTTTCCCCACCATCAATAATAATCTTATTCGATTGAATAAACTGCTTTTTTGGCATTTAGAACACATTATTCTATTTATTACTGTTGGGACCGATACGCTTTCGCAAAAATTCCAGTGGGACACTGTCCTATTCCTTTGGCGTTAAATATGAAACTTTTAATGTTTTTGCTAAAACTGTATTATATTCTTTATGTATTGAATGAAGTGAAAGTAAAGAAAAATTGTACCTTTAAAAAACAAAATTGATAGCGAAAGGGTTCAATGAACGCAACTACAGGATTATATAGGACGAACTAACTGCCTCAATTCTTTCAGCAACATTTTCACGTTTTAATCCCGAGCTTGTGCAAAACAAGTTCGAAATTTCGTTCAACGGAGCGATCATAATTGTTGACGCGATACAGTATTGGTCATATATTGATATTTGTTTAACTCTCCATCAGAGAATGATATCTGATAGATGCGCTTTTGGTAGTTGAAAGAACATCTATATCACGCATACAATTATGTGTTAGTTCCATTAACCTTTTATCTTTGAACAAAAATTTTGCATTTAAAATTTTTACATTAGACTGTTGATCTGATTCGATTTTTGTTCGATTTATTTGTAATTAGCGCGACAGAATATATGTAACCTTGAGATTTAGGTACCTTTTTATTCGATATTTTTTCTCAGTATACGTAACTACCAGTGAAAGATTCGATAAATGGTGATTTCGATAATGAGATTTTCGATGTTTAAAAACGAAGTTTTAGGAAATCCGTCCTTTGTGATACACACGCGCACGCGAGCACACACACACACACACACACACACACACACACACACACACACACACACACACACACACACACACACACACACACACACACACACACACACACACACACACACACACACACACACACACACACACACACACACACACACACACACACACACACACACACACACACACACACACACACACACACACACACACACACACACACACACACACACACACACACACACACACACACACACACACACACACACACACACACACACACACACACACACACACACACACACACACACACACACACACACACACACACACACACACACACACACACACACACACACACACACACACACACACACACACACACACACACACACACACACACACACACACACACACACACACACACACACACACACACACACACACACACACACACACACACACACACACACACACACACACACACACACACACACACACACACACACACACACACACACACACACACACAAAGGCGTATCCATTTAATGTATCATTTCCATTATTCACGTTTGCATACATGAATACGTGTCATTATCCGAGAAATATGATCCGCCTGGCTTTCTCTTCGCATTGATTATCCTCGGGAGACAATGGTTTAATTATCATTAACACGTTGACTGTCCAACGAGTTTCATGTGACTTATCATCTACGCCATGATGAAATTTTCAAAGCATATAATGATAAAATATCGTGTGTCGCATAAGAAAATTATTAAAGTAAAATAAATGGCAAAATAATGGCATAAATGGCTAGCAAATATCGCGATATCGAATGTGTTTTGTATTTAGACAATACACATGACAGAGATACAATTTTCTATCTGGACTATTTGTGACAATTTGGCAAGAATTTCTCTCTCTGTGACGTCCAGCCAGATTAAGACCAGTCACACTTCTTGCAAAAATTGACTGTGGTAAACGATAAAGGGCCAGCAACGAGAGACAAACAAATGTGTAATCCTCCTAAAAAGTGTGGCCAAGCGCTCATAGAGAGATTTTGTTTTTTTTTTTCTTAAATTTGGAATATTCCAATTAGTGATATACCGATTTGTGAAACTTATGTCGAATAGATTATACAGTCTCGATATTATTCTCGTAATCGTTTGGGAGATAAACGGTACAAAATGTTGCAATCTCAATAGACAGCTACATTGTTCACGCGTGACGTAAACTTTGCGTATTATTAGAGAATAATGCGAGAATAATATTGAGATTTTATATTCTCATAAGCTCGTCCTAAACTTCTCAAATCGATGTATTTCGGATATTATTTATTGGAATATTCAAAATTTTTCATATAATAATTTGCGCTCTTAAATACAATATTATATAATTTTTATAAAATCCCATGGAATATAATGAAAATGAACGAACTGAATATTTTTCCATAGCATTTGATTGTTACTAAAGACCTCTCTCTTTGTTTTCATTTTCATCGCAACATTTTCCCCGTGCGCGTAATGAAAATTAATGAACAGAGAATATTCCTTTTTATTGCGTTCGATTTTTTAGCAAAAGAAATCCTGCGTGTGGGAAATTGATGCGAATCGCGAGACAATCGGACCCGGTGCAATTGATCCCAGGGTGGGACTTTCGAGGCGGCACGGCGCGCGTCGAATTCGAGTATCAACATGTGCGCGGTGTAAGCCCCGCAGAAGGGGTTGAAGGTGGCTCCGCGACGAAGACGCGCACGCCGTGGCGGCGCCGTCGCTTTTGGTCCCGTCCTCGCGGGGGCTCGCTGGCGCGTGAGTGTGGCGCAGCTGGTCTCGCGCCTTCCTGGCCGTTCTAGCCGGGACGATCAATAGACCGGGAGGCGGCGGCGACGGAGGCAACGGCGGTGGCGGTGGCGATGGCGATGGCTACGACGGAAGAGAGTCGGCTGCTTGGTGATGGTGATGGTTGTCCGGGCGCAGTGGCAAGTTAATTCCTCCCTCTCGCCACCCCCGCCCGTCGTAACATTTCTATTATCCGACAACAATCTCCGGTATCACGTCTCTGCTATCTAGGAGACGATCCGCCGGCGTGTCCGTGACGCTCTGCGGGAAACGGGCCTGCGGAAGCGCGGCATCGCGCGTTATCATCGCGGGTTACCCGTCGCGATTCCGCCTGGGAGAGCCACCCACGAGATTCGCTCAAGTGAACGTCGTGCTCCTCGCACGTTGCTCATTTCAAGCGAGATCGTCCGCTTGAGGTCTCGCGGGTCTCGTCGCGTCTTATCCGTTTTCGTCTTGCGGCACCGCACTCGCTCGAAACGATGATGCTTCAGGTAGAAGTGTAGGTGTCACAGTTAAAATTTTTTGTCGTTCTACCTGCTGGTAAATTGCGTATGTGGAATTTCCACCAGCAGTATGCCAACCAGCTCTGGCAATATCTGCGAGCAAATTTGTGCGAGGATTATGCACATTCGTTGGTTTCTCATCGCTCATTCTCTTTTCGTCCATCGCAGTCAATTTTTACAAAAAATGTTAGTGGCTTCAATCTGGATGGCCGCCACAGAGAGAGAAAGAGAGAGAGAGAAAAAGAGAGAGAAAAAGAGCGAGAGAGAGAGAAACTTCTTTGCCAAATTTCACGAATAGTTCACATAGAAATTCTATCATTTGTATCGCGAAGTTCAAAACATGTGCGATCGTCATTTATCCATTTTAGCTAATTTCTCGCATCTAAATAATTTTCGCTATGACTGCGAGACTATCTTTTGAAGTGTCGCAAGCGCACGTGTCTTGTAATAGCGCGAGACGCATTTCGCGACTGCGAAATTAGTCTCGAAAAGCGTTCCGTATTTAACATACGTTCACGCTCTGTCGCGCGCGTTCAAAACATTCGCGATTGACGCGAGTCTCTCGGGCTTCCTCGTAATTCAGAAAGGAAACAGCAGCTCTGAGCGATTCATGAGACTCATCAATGCGCAATTTGGCGAGAGAGCTTTCGACACTTGCGCGAATTAGCGCGACGGTCACTCTTACAACGGAGCTCTCGCGTTTTCGCGTCGCCGCGAAGCTCTCCTTCCGTAAAATCATCGCGAACACGCTCACTGGCGCCGTTTAATTTACGGCACTGCCGCCACCGTCGTCGTCGTCGTCGTCGTCGTCCTCGGGTCGCGGCCACCAGCTCCGCGATTGGTCGGCGGCGATTTCGCGGGCTCGAGACGAGTCGCGGGTGCGATCCGCTCCCGTGTGCCAGTCGGTGGCGGCGCGTCGCCGTGTTCGTATCGTGTATGTGTTGCTCTCGGTGCCGTCGCGCCCCGTCGTGGAGCCACCCCTAACACCCTTCGATTGGCATCCCCGCCGCCGTGACATCATTCGCATCATCTGACGTCATTGTTTAACCCTTTTATCGGTAAATTGAATTCCCCTGCCTCGCCGAAGCCGGTGGAAGTGCGTCTCCCTTTGTTGACTCGAATCAGGACTTGTGATGTTGAAAAGTAATAACGACGACACGCAGAGGGTTCTCTCGAGTGTTATTGTCGTCCGCAACGAGTGCGACGTATTCCACTCCGTCGACTGCTAGACTTTCTGTCCGCTTGATTCCGCGGAGTGTTGAATACAATTCTGTATTTAATGTCAGTGTGACCACGCCGTTTCCTTAATTGATTGCGCTGTCGAGGTCGCATGGCGAAGAAGCACGGATAATGATAACGTACGTTCGCGACCCGAATCGAAAATTCGTCCCATTGTGCGTCGCTTTGCGTCGCTTTGCGACTACATCATTATGCGGGATTATGCATATGATTTGCTGATACCTTTCGCGTAATGTGATCGAACGTGGTAATTCGCTTCGCGTTTCGCTGATAATTATTCAAAACTCCTGCGTGCGTGCTTCGCTCGTTCGGTATCTCGGACAAGAAACCCATCCTGACGCGCGTTTTGTTCTCTAACAAAAGAGAACAAAACACTAACGAAGAATTGAAGAGGATCGATTGTTCAAACAAAATTGTGATGCGCTCTTAAATACAATATTTTAAATTTTCGCACATTAAATCTTGGCTCCGTTGGCTTCGTTTTCTTAGCTACGATTGGATATTACCTGAGTCTTAAATATTTCTTAATACTTCTTATTCTTTAAGAAATGCTGTGCAATAAATTCCTTAATGTCTTCGTGGAGAGCAATTATAATGGAGCTCTCGTCCGTTCGAGAGAGGAGGCCGAATCGGCCGAGCCGACCTTTTTGCCGTGCTCGCGCTAAAAGCCAGGAAGCAGGGAACACTCGGGACTATTGATTGAAGGGTTAATCACCGTATGTTCGACGAGCGCTATCGAAAGTGCTGGTTTGCGAGCTACACGCTGGAGTGACACGCGATCGCGTTTGGCCGCAATTGCCGCGCGTACCTTAGTCGTGAGCAACCGGAGAGGCCGCGGGGAGGAAGCTGCAAAAATAATTACAAACACTTCGAACGGAAATTGCAGCACGCGCGACGGCGCTGACATTATCAGTTAACAGCAGAGTTCGATGATATCGCACGTTTATCCTGCTACTTCCGACACGATAGACACGAGGAGCGAAACGATAAACGGGCGCGATTTCGCGACGTGCGTTGCGATCATACACTGATGTCCGTTTCTACATACAGAAAAATATCATTCTAAGGTAAATGTCCCAGTAAGGTAAAAATTTCCGAACACATACGTACCTAATCTTGGACATTCTTATTTTTTTGGTCTTTAAATACGATATTTAAACTTTTGACATTGGTATTTAAACTTTTGACATAGAATGTATGTATATATTCAATACTTGTATATATATATTTTTTTTTTATGTTGAAAGTTTAAATATTTATATTTTTTTAAAGATCAAAACAATAAGAGTGTTCAGGATTAGATATATGTCCTGACATTGGCACTTTTATCTTAATTGAACATGTCCCAATGATTGTAACATTGATAACACAGAAGTATAAAAAAATAAATGTATGAAAAAGATGAACAACAAACAAGATATAAAAAATGAGCCTTTAAGAGCCAAGTATG